GCGATGCTACTGCACACAGCACAGCAGCAATCCTACAGCGCCAAGGAGCATACCTTCGTATATTTCACAATCCATTCTAACACGCAAAAAGGATAAAAAAAAATATTATAATAAACAATAGTATAAACACACACCCTTTGTTTATTATGAATTCTGATTCCTATAATTGTATAATTTATAGGTTATATTGAATGTTGTGGGTGACCAATTCTTGTCTTTACTCATGCGCAAAAATTCCACTACGTCCATTTATAAATTGAAAAAATATTTACAGTCCGTTTCTTACGTCTCCAGTGCGTCTACGTCTACAGTACGTCAAACTATAAATCCAGCTTTATTCTGTGGTGGTCTGGTACTGAACGAGAAACTTATGAAAATATTGACTCGAAACGTCAAACATGAAATGAAATGTCGAGACAAATACCTCTGGATCTAAGCCACAGACAGTAAAGACCAAGACCTACTGACGGTAAAAAAAAAGTCCGTCTTGCATGGCACATCTCTTGCCTAGCTTGACCTTTTTACATCAGAGACACAGAATAATAAACAATCAGAAGGGCCACTCTCAGATGCCGCCTTTGAAGTTTTTCAGCACGCGCGCCATGTTTTAGGAGGACACAGACATATGATTTGTGTGGTTATGTAATTGTTTATATTTATGTTTAATTATATTATATTTATGTTATTATATTTAACAATGTTAATATAATTGTATAGTATGTCTATGATTGCCGTAAGTCAAATAAACCTGGTTAATTTTTCCATGCACACCACATAAACAACACTAGTTTCTTTAAAATCCTCCTAAAACATGGCGGAACGTCTGCGCGGAGGAGATGCGCGTACTTAATTTTCCGTGGAGAGTGGGTATTCTGTTTGTTTATTATTCTGTGTCAGAGATATTTCTGTGCAATTTTAGATCCCACTTTCATTGTTGCCAACAGAGAAAATATTTATCAATTTGAGGTTATTTTATTCTAAATAAATATAATTAAGTACTAAAATAAATAATATAATAAATAAATATACACTATTTATGGTTATTAAAAGGGCGAAGGATGTCAACCAAAGAAAAGAAAACATTGTTATTGTTATAGTCAACGACTCACCCAGTCGTTTTTATATTAACTTTAGACATAGTTTATCTATTTATCACCACTTAATAAACTTAATTTAAATCAAAACACAACAATACACACGTGGACTAAGGGACGCTAAAGATAGAGATAAGGTTATGTTTTATTCTGTAATCTATTATAAATTGTTATGTTGGCAACATGAATTTTAACGATAAATTGCAAGAAAATGGTATGAAAAATAGAACATGTTAAGCCGCCTTTACATCTAGGCTATGCAAGTCTCATGCTATGCAAGTCCGTCTTGCATGGCACATCTCTTGCCTAGCTTGACCTTTTTACATCAGAGATATTTCTGTGCAATTTTAGATCCCACTTTCATTGTTGCCAACAGAGAAAATATTTATCAATTTGAGGTTATTTTATTTTAAATAAAAAATATAATTAAGTACTAAAATAAATAATATAATAAATAAATATACACTATTTATGGTTATTAAAAGGGTGAAGGATGTCAACCAAAGAAAAGAAAACATTGTTATTGTTGAATATTGCTGTTGTAGCAACAATCATCCATAGTCAACGACTCACCTAGTCATTTTTACATTAACTTTAGACATAGTATATCTATTTATCGCCACTTAATAACCTTAATTTAAATCAAAACACAGCAATACACATGTGAGTTAAAGATAGAGATAAGGTTATGTTTTATTCTGTAATCTATTATAAATTGTTATGTTGGCAACATGAATTTTAACGATAAATTGCAAGAAAATTGCATGAAAAATAGAACATGTTCTAATTTTTCGTCTAGCACAGGAATTGCATGGAAATAGCCCGTGGGCATGCGCAGTTCCATGATCTGTCTTGCATGGCTCTTGCCTAGCATGAAAATAGCATAATGTAAAACTGTCTTAATGCATAGCATGAGACTTGCATAGCCTAGATGTAAAGCTGCCTTTAAGGCGGCTTTACATCTAGGCTATGCAAGTCTCATGCTATGCAAGTCCGTCTTGCATGGCACATCTCTTGCCTTAATTAATTATTAATGATAAGAGTCTAAAATGCGACACAATTGTTAAAAAACTTCAATATAAATAAGATTTCATGTGACATTTGGGACAAACAATAACATAACCCAACTAAATTTGATGTCAAACAAGGAGAGAGACTCTCTTTCTTTGTTTAAAGTGGCCTCTAAAGATCGCACTTCCTGTCTAACAATATGTTTGCCCCCACTACCTTTACATTCCCTCTATTGTCTTTTTGCTCGATGGTTTGATTACAGTAACAGTGTGTTCCGAACAAATGTTCTTGATAAAAACGCTTTATAATGTATTTATACAAATTAAATGAAACATATTATTGTGTATTTCTTTAAGTTAACAATAATAGAAATTGTTAAATATTATTTCTACGCGTATATAATAAAATATGTCTAGTGGCTGTAATGCCAGTGTACTCGGTAAAGTGATTCTACAAAAGAACACACCTACACCCTAAATATTTTGTGTTGGTATCATGTAACGTCACAGGCTATGACGCCGATGACGTGCATCGTAATATAAATTAGATGAAGTGTATTTCGTAGAAATCACTTCATAGACTATATAACTCTATCCATCCCACTTTTATGACATGTTGACCACAGACCACTAATATGTTGACATGACTATGATATAGACATATGACATACCAGGGTTGCCAGATTGGGGTATTTTCCCCCAAATTTGGGGTATTTTTTCTTGCTCGGGGGATTTTTTGGGGGTATACACTGAGTGGGGTATTTTTTGGAGGAAAATTTTTTACATGGGGGTTTTTTGGGGCATAATTTTAAGAGCACATTCCATTGCCTCGTCGATTTTAAATTTCAAGTTAAACTGTGATTCACAAAAATCTTTGAATATAAATTCATTTACAGTCGATTCTGCCATCTAGTACAAACTATTAAACTTATTTGGTACATTACATTACAGTTTTCTTCAACAGCAGCACAACAACATTTGATTTTCTTGCGCGTACTTTAGCGTACCATTTTGTTTTTGTGTACCATTTTCTGTGATAGAACACAGAAAATAGTATCTCCTTCCTGTCCTATTGTTTAACTTTATTTACTTTTCTATTTCTAGAAATTCTAGAATTAATTTTGAGGGTTATATTTCTGTGATACCTCGTGTAAGTTTGAAGGTTATATATCTGGTGTGTTCAATACGCATAATTTATTTAAATTAGTGTTTGTACGCGTGTTGATTTAAAAATATGTCTAAAGGAAAAAAGGAGTATACCCGAAAATACCATTGCTTGGGAATCGGATACTGAACTTAAAGGTAATCTGTTTAATACAATTTTTATGGTTTGGGTTATTAATAATTAATTATTCTATATAGGATGGATTGGTCCTGTACCAGAAGATGAGACACAAGCATTTTGCAAGAAATGTAAATGCACTTTAGCTGCACATAAAAAAGATTTATTACTCCATGGTAAAAGTAAAAAACATCAAGCGGATGAGAAACTATCTTTGGCCGGCCCCAGTAAAAAAATTACTTAGTTTATGAAAAAAGGTTTGACCTCCAGCAAAAAAATAGCAGAATTGAAAATTGCTGCATTTATATGCGTGCACTACTCAGTTTCAACAATTGACCATCTAGGATCACTATTAAAAAATTTAGATACATCCTCGGAAATTTTAAATGAAATAAAATTACATAAAACAAAATGTACATCTTTAATATTGAATGTATTGGCTCCCTGCATACTTAACGAATTACTTTTGGATATTGCAGGTAGTAAATATTCATTGATTATAGATGAGAGTACTGCGGTTGATTCAACAAAAATGCTATGTGTCATGATAAAATATTTTAGTAAAAAGCAAACTAAGATCGTTACGACATTCTATAAACTTATCGAAACTGAAAAGGGTGATGCCATAACTATCTCAGCTGCAGTGACAAAGCAACTAGACCTAGATGGTTTAAAATCAGAAAATCTGATAGGAATCGGTGTTGATGGTGCAAATGTTATGGTTGGAGCACACAATTCTGTAGCTTCTTTGTTAAGAAGCTACAGAATTGTAGCTTTTAACAAACAGAAGCTATTCTGTTTGTTAAAGGTTAAGAATAATGAACTTGTTGTTATTAAGTGTGTCTGCCATTCTCTGCATTTAGCAGCAGAGCGTGCATTTAAACTTCTACCTCGTCATTTGGACTTTATAATTAAGGAATGTCACAATTGGTTCTCTTGTAGTACAAAAAGGCAAATAGCATACAGACAAGTATTTGAAACACTAACAGATAAACAACCACTTAATCTAACAGAATATAACCTCAAAATCATAGATATTTTATAAGTAGCTCAAAATATGAACTTTGACAGTAAATATCTTAATATGTACATACTTTGATACTCTTACCTCACAAATTTACGAACACGAAACCCAATCGCACAGAATGGATATTCAGAAGCGAAAGTCCTTATTTATTCTTTAAAATATTTAAAAAATTAACATTTCCAACTTCTTATGAGAGAAATACAGCAGATTTGTTTTGTTTGGAAATGTTTTCAAAATTCCCACCCATTATGACGTCAGACGTTAGGTTCCATGTCAATTGTCATTTGTTTCGATTCGAGCTTCTGTCATATATTATATAATCTGTGTATAATATTAATATACCCGGATTAAATGACAGAAGCTCGAAACAAATGAGAATAAATGAAAAGTTCTATAAAAAAAGTTATTCTATGCATAAAACATATATAACCAACTTGCAAAATGTAATAATAAATAAATAAATACATTTAAAATTTTGGGGGATTTTTTTTAAAAAAGGTCATTTTTGGGGGATTTTGAAGTTCAGGTTGGGGGAATTTTATAAATCGGTCTGGCAACCCTGTGACATACAGACATTTTATTTTGCACAATTTTGTGATGCAAATGGCGGTAAGAGAAGAGGTTAACGTGAGTTAAGCTTTGAATTAATAAGAAAGATTTATGTGCAAAGTGAATTAGTTTTTCTTAAGGAAAATGGAACTGGAATATTCAGATGTTTCTGCTGAGATCAAAGGATCTTTGACTCCAGGAAAATTAAAACTAACAGAACAAAATATTATATTCAAAAACAGTAAAAGCGGTAAAGTGCAACAAATACCATCTTCAGACTTTGATGTAGTAAATTTTCAAAACTTTGCTGGTACTTGGGGTATCCGTTTATTTCTCAAAAATGGTACTTTACATCGATTTGTAGGTTTCAAAGATTCCGAAAAAGATAAAATTGCAAAGTTTTTTAGTAATGCCTACAAAATAGAAATGTTGGAGAAAGAACTAAGTACAAAAGGTTGGAATTGGGGTACAGCTAAATTTAATGGATCAGTTTTAAGTTTTGATGTAGGTTCTAATAGTTCATTTGAAATACCTCTTAATCATGTATCACAATGTACAGGAGGAAAAAATGAGATTACTATGGAATTTCACCAAAATGATGATGCTCCTGTGAGTCTCATGGAAATGAGGTTTTTCATTCCTGCTAATGAATTAGCTGGTGATGTAGATCCAGTTGAAGCATTCCAACAACAGGTAATGGATAAAGCCAGTGTTATCAATATATCTGGAGATGCTATTGCTATATTCAGAGAAATCCATTGTCTTACTCCAAGAGGGCGCTATGATATTAAAATATTTAATTCATTCTTCCAACTTCATGGTAAAACATTTGATTACAAAATTCCAATAACTACAGTGCTCAGATTGTTCCTGTTACCACATAAAGATAGCAGACAGATGTTCTTTGTAGTTAGTTTAGATCCTCCAATTAAACAAGGTCAAACTCGTTATCACTTTTTAGTGTTTCTCTTTAATCAAGATGAAACATCTATTGAGCTTCCATTTACTGAAGAAGAATTAAAGGAAAAATTTGAAGGAAGGTTACAAAAGGAACATAGTGGACCCACATTTGAAGTTATGAGTAACATTATGAAAAATATAATCAACAGAAAACTAACAGGACCTGCTGATTTTATAGGTAATCATTCAGTTTTTGTTGTACTATAATATATTACTAGTGTATAGGAGATAAATCAATCCTCAAAATCTTAAGTAAGTTTTTTATGGTTGTAGAATTTCTAAGCTACCAGTTTTGAGGCTTACAATATATGCCCCATCATCAGGCCACAGTACATATGTCTTTATTTTAACAAAAACTAAAAGCTAAAAACAACACGAACTAAAAAATTAATACCTAATACAAAACAAGGGTTAAACAACTAACTCTAAGTTTGTAGTAACACACTATAAAATTTGATAGTGACGTTAGTGTTTTAAAATCACCATTTGTCTGGCCTCTTGAGTGCCTGAATGTACTGTAGGAAATTATCTTTGATTTATGGGTGTATATATTTAAATTTTAAATGAAAGTTTAAACTTTTTGGAGTGATCTATGTTTTTACATGACAGTTGATTACAAAGGATTTTTATTGCTGGTGAATCTTTGATTTCAATTTAAACTAGAAAAAAATATACCTCTACACCTTTTCATATTCATCAATTTTATCTCCAATCTTCTTAATATTGTCACTTATTTTATTGGTAAGTCACCACTGTTTGTAACAAAAACAGTATTCACAAATAAAAACCATAAACTGATCTTAAGTATTGATTATCTAGGCAAACTGAACCAGTCTGCCAAATACTTAATCTTTGATAGTATACAAGGAACTATCGAACACAGTGATTAATTAAATCTTGCCCAAGTACTTTCGATCAATAGATCATCTTCAGGGGCCTTTCGTTAGTTGTGGCCTATCCGACATGAGTAGAATGTCATAAATGTAAATTTGGACATAGCAATACAATACACAAAGACAAACAAACACTTAAAAATTTTTTAAAAGGTTTTTAAAAGCTTTTGTTTGTCTTTGTGTATTGTATTGTTATGTCCAAATTTACATTTATGACATTCTACTCATGTCGGATAGGCCACAACTAACGAAAGGCCCCTGAAGATGATCTATTGATCGAAAGTACTTGGGCAAGATTTAATTAATCACTGTGTTCGATAGTTCCTTGTATACTATCAAAGTTTAATTATTCGAACATTCAACCTTATATTGAAATACTTAATCAGTAATTGTTCCTAAATGATGAACTTTACTCATCATAAAACACTAATTTCTTTATTTTAATCTTAATACTTTAACATTTTTAGTACATATGTATTTTGTTATGATTTTTATATGTTGTAACATTTGATATACATTTGATATATGCTTGGTAATTATGTTGTTTCTACTACATTTATGTGTACTCTCTCAAGTTTTTCTTTTTTATTTTATTTATTTTTTGATATTTTTTTGTATGAAGTTAATTTTCAATATACTTTTTAGTATATCTTTAATATGCATGATTCTTATTTATTATTTATATTTGTAGGTCATTCTGGAACACCAGCAATCAGTTGTTCCTACAAAGCTGCAGCTGGTTTGTTATATCCATTGGAAAGGGGCTTCATCTATGTTCATAAACCACCTATTCATATAAGATTTGAAGAGATTGCTTCTGTTAATTTTGCTCGAGGTGGAGGAAGTACAAGATCTTTTGACTTTGAAATTGAACTAAAGTCAGGTACTGTTCACACTTTTAGCAGTATAGAAAAAGAGGAGTATGGTAAGCTGTTTGACTTTATTACCAAAAAGAAGTTAAACATTAAAAATAGAGGCAAGAATGATAAAACTTCATATAAAGATGACTTTGGAGACTCAGATGAAGAAGCTGCTCCTGATGCATATCTGGAAAGGGTTAAAGCTGAAGGCCAAGAAAGGGATGACGATGATGATGACGAAGATGAAAGTACAGATGAAGATTTCAATCCAGGTCAAGATGAAAGTGATGTTGCTGAAGAATATGATAGTAATCACAGCAGCTCTTCTGAAGATGAAGATGAAGAAGGTGGAGGTGGTGGTGGTGGAGATAGTGATGAGAAAAAGAAAAAGAAAGAAAAGAAGGAAAAAAAGAAAACAAAGACAATTTCAGAAAAACCAAGAAAGAAACGTGAGAAAAAAGACAAATCAGATAATAAACCAAAGAGAGCAACTACTGCTTTTATGCTCTGGTTAAATGCTACCAGAGAAAAAATTAAGGAAGAAAATAAAGGAATCTCAGTAACTGAAATTGCAAAAAAAGGTGGAGAAATGTGGAAAGAATTAAAAGACAAATCAGAGTGGGAAGAAAAAGCTAAGAAGGACAAGGAAAGATATGAACAAGAAATGAAAGAATTTAAAGCTTCAGGAGGTGACACATCAAAAGAAACTAAGAAAGCACCAGCAAAGAAGGATAAGAAATCTCCTGCTAAAAGGGCCAGTTCACCTAAACCTGCAGAAGGAAAGATAAAAAGTAAAGAATATATTGATGATTCAGATTCTAGTAGTGATGATGAAAAGGCTAAGAAAAAAAAGGAGAACTCTAAATCTAAAAAAGATGCAAGTAGTGAGGATGAGAAAGATAAGAAAGATGCAAGTAGTGAGGATGAGAAAGATAAGAAAGATGGAAGTAGTGAAGATGATGTTAAAGACGAGTCAGAAAGTGAAGAGGAGAGAGGAAAGAAAAGAAAGAAAGAAAGTGATGACGAGAATGAAGATAGTGATTAAAGAAATGTTGCATAAATTTCAGGATATTCGTTTTAGTATTTTTTTTAAGTAATAAAATATTTGTATTAGTTATATCTTTTATTTGAATAGTATAGTAAGTTTAAAGCTATTTTTCTTCTGAATGAATGATTGGATTTTGATGTTTTTTTTTCTTATTATAGGTCTATTTCTAGGAAATCCATGTATTAAAGTTTTCTAAAAAATATTAAGGTTTCACCCATATATGGGGTGTAAAAATAAAGTTTTGTTTTTTCATCATTTTTTGCAACACCCTGTGGAATTTATTAGAAAAATGCTACATTTTATTAATATTTTAAGATAGATCTATCCTTTCTTAAGATTTTCGTAAAAAATTATCTCGATATCTGTATTATCAAAGATTATACAGAACTTTAAATGTAACAAGTTTTTGAACAGCCTTACAGAACACAACCTAAATAATCTTTAACAATTCCCTTTCCCAAAAACACTTGTACAAGTATTTCCACATCTAATATTTTCCACATATTTTCTACATTTAATTACTTTTTCTCAGCTGCGAGGCATACTTAAAATCAAGCGAAGTATTTGGTCTTGATCAATTGCATCCCAAACTTCTCTCACCATAACTTCTACGCCGTCAAGAGACAGGTAGTGGTTATCAGCTCCTGAGTTGGCGATCAATAATATCTCACAAATTCTCTATGGGTCTTAGATCAGGGCTGCAGGTTGGCCAGTTCTTGTCTGAATATTTGTGGACCGCACATGCAACATGTGCTTGAGTGTTATCATGTATTAAAAGAAAATTAGTTCCTATGTAAGGAGCAAATGGAATTACATAGTTAGACAAAATGTCTGTAATATACCTTTCACTTGTTAAGGCACCTCTTTGTAAAGCAACAAGGTCTGTTCGCTCTGTAAGAGATATTCCTCCTCACACCATCACAGATTCTAAATTGAATAAAGTAATAGGTCATATATTACACTGCGTAGTGTTATCTTTGCCGTTGAATAACCTCACACATCTATCTGTATTCTGAATAAATTCTATACAGTGTGTAAAAGCCAAATGGAATAAATTCATTATTAAGGTTACTGTACATATTTATAAAAAATCCCGAAACACATCAAATTTAAATTATAACTTGACATTCTTTAACGTGAAAATGCAACCCCTACCTTCAACCCCCTTAGAATGACAGGTACAACTCCCGATTTTTAAAATAGGAAGTATATGCTTGTGATATATCGTTTGAAAGGTCTTTTCATTCTCCATTACAACATAACAGGTATGACCGACCTAATCGCAAGCGTTATTCGTTCTTTTAAGTTATTTAAATCAAAAGGTTTAGTTTTGTACACATGGCTCTTCACAATATCCCCATAAAAAGAAATCTAATAATGTAAGACCAGGTGATCGCACTGGCCATTCAATCGATCCTCGCCTCCCTATCCACTGATTGGGAAATATTGTATCGAGGTACTGCCATTAAGTTGGTAATGTGGTGGTGCTCCATCCTGCTGAAACCATATCGTATTCGCTGGAACTTGAGGGTTTCCTGAATCAGGATATACATTTGCCAACATTGGAATGACATCATTTTGAAGTAGTGCCAAATAATTGTTGCCATTCAAGTTGCCCTCAATGAAAAAGGGACCAATGATATTGTTTCCTACAATCCCTGCCCAAACATTAACCTTTTGAGGGTATTGAGTGTGTTCTTCTCTCACCCAGTGAGGATTTACCGTGGCCCAGTAGCGGCAATTGTGCCGATTAGCATAACCGTTAAGTGAAAAAGTACACTAATCAGAAAACATAACGCCTTCTAATTGGATAATATTGTTATCTAACATGTCCATCATTTGCTCACAAAAAAAGTTCTATCAAAATCGTCTTCCATGAGCTCCTGAGTCGGTATCATCTTATAGGGATGCAATTTATTTTCTTTTAATATGTTTACTAATCGGTGTATGGCTAGCATTGAATGTAGTGGATGTCTGTCTACTCGATGTATGTGGATTTTCTTGAAACTCAAGCAACACATCTAATTTGAGTTCATCACTCAGTGCATTGGCAGCTTCTTTTTTTATCTGCCTTACATGAAAAAAACTCGCGAAACTGCTTCTCTATTTTACTTATTGTTCCTTGGGATATAGGCGGTAAATTAGGAAATTTCTCATGAAATAGGCGAGTTACTTCCTGTTGTGTTCGGGTGTTATCTCCGTAACCAATCATTTGTAAAACTGTTATTTTATGCATTTCCGTTAATCTAACCATTTTTCAGAATTGAATCGAACGAAATTTTTACTTAAAATACTGACAACTTAAATAAAACAATTTACTAATGCGTGTTAAAATAACGTTGCCACGGAAATTCTTTAAAGTTTTTTAATGGTTACCATCTAAAAACCACATTGCTGTGGTTTTTGTTCACTTTCTCATTATCAAGACCTAAACGGAAAATAAGTTTTGAGTATATTTTAGCGAATTTCGGTAACCACATGATTTTAATTTATTTTATCTTAATTAATCTTAATAAACTTGAAAGCGACAACATTTTTGAATACTTCCTATTTTAAAAATTGGGCGGTTGTACCTGTCATTCTAAGGGGGTGGAAGGTAGGGGTTGCATTTTCACGTTAAAGAATGTCAAGTTATAATTTAAATTTGACGTGTTTTGGGATTTTTTATAAATATGTACAGTAACCTAAATAATGAATTTATTCCATTTGGCTTTTACATACTGTATAAGCAACATATGCTCCCAGTCATCAACATTCCAGTCAAGGTGCTCTCTGGCAAATTATAATCTACTTTTATGAATATTTACGTTTAAAACTGATGCTCTGACTGGTATCCTTATATGTAGATCTTATTCAGCGAGACTCCTTTGTATAGTGTTTCTACTAATTTGAATATTATTAACATTTGCCTATTGTATTTGTAAATTGTGAGAAAATTCTCTTGTAGCACAAAGCCTGATAAAATGATCTTGTTGTGGTCTTCCTCTTTCTTGTCCACGCCGTCTGGTATGGTCTGTTTGTCGAAAACGTTGAATGGCTTGTGATATTGTAGTATGACATACTCTTAACATTAAGCCTATTTCACGATAACTTAACCCTACATCAGCTAAAGTAATTGCATGAACACATTCATCTCGTCTCAGATTTCTTGAAATATGTTTCATTTCAACTAACATACGCAAAAATAGCAAAACAATTTTTTTAAAAACAATATTGAAAGTCCTGTCAAACTGTTTGATTTTTCGGAGCCAACTAACTGCTTCCATTAATTAGTATTACATTTCGATAAAACATGATTATTATAGAAATATTAATAAGATGTAGCGCTTGCTTTTAATAAATTCCACAGGGTGCTACAAAATAAGATGAAAAATCAAATTTATTTTTACACCCCTATATGGGTGAAACGTGAACTTTTCCTAGAAAACATTAATACAGTAATTACTTAGAAATAGGTCTGCAATGCGAAAAAAAATATCGAAATCCAATTAAGGATACAAAAGAAAATTAGCTTAAACATTATAGTAGAGTTAAGGTGATGCGTTAATTTTGGAGATTAAAAAATCACGTAATGCTTTGAACATACTTTTCTTTTTTGATAATAAAGATTTTTTTACAAAAATGTGAAGAAAGAATAAAGCGTTCTCGAAATATTAATAGCATGTATCATTTGTTTCTAATACATTCCACAGTGTGTTGCAAAATTATATGAAAAAACACAACTCTATTTTTACACCCTGTATATTGGTAAAACCTTGACATTTATCAAAAAACATTAATATAATAATTAATAATTAGAAATATACCTACAATGTAAAAAATAAATGATAGAAATCCAATGAAGGGTTCCGAAGAAATATAGTTTTAAAATCATGGTCCATTTTAAGTGGTGCGTTAATTTTGGAGAGTAGTATATATTGATGATTCAGATTCTAGTAGTTATTGTCATCATAATCAGTTAACTGAGACACCAAAAAAAAAAAAATAACAAATAATTCTTCTGATTGGTACTCATTGTGTGGATACCAGTATTATGAAATGTTAACTAAAAATTTCATTGGTTGTGAGAATACCAAAGAAATATTTCATCAAGTTTCTATATTAAATGTTTCAAATAATAATAATCTTCACTGCATCATGTTTAAAAACAACATACCTACCTACTAACAATAAACATTTATTTTAATAGCAGATAAAGATGAATCAGTAGTTCACTAACAATGCAGTATTAATCAGCGTAAGTAGACTAAAAAATCATAGATACAGACACGTGCTTCAGATTGTTTTTGTTAGTTTTACCAAAGTAATTTGAGTAAATATATTTTACCTGTTATTAATAAGGTAAGTAAAATGCATGATTTCTTGCGGTAAACTACTGCGCATATTTTTCTCATAATGATATTTTCTATTGTTGTTTACAAACAAGATCATGCATATCTAGTAAATTTTATCTTTTAGATAAAAATCATGAGTTCGAAAGATAAAAGGCTGCTGACTGATAAAGAACTTGTGGATGTAATAGATAGGTTTTGGGATAGCGAAGATGGGTTTGATGATGATGATACTGTCGATCCAGATTTCTTACCTGACGAACAAGTTGGTACATATGATAAGCCTGATAATAATTAGTGATCAAAAGTACTAGATTTTTTTTTATTTTTAGACATTGTATGGAGAAAAAAAATTTGAACTTATCCGAACAGCAACTGGAATTTAGAGAAAATTAGAGTCTTCCAAATTATATCCTACATAAAAGTGCCTATGAATATTTTAATTTATTCATCACAGATAGTATTTTAGACAAAAAGTGACATAAAGCAGTTTATTGGAATTACAATATATGCCATCCCTTGTTCATTCTCCCAGTATAAGGGAATATTGGTTAGAAGAAATTGGCTTTGAGAAAATAAAAAGTGCTATGTCAGTCAAGCTATGATCAAAAAACGAGACCTGCTTTTGAACCTGACCTGCGAGCAACTGCAAATGTTGTAGTGAGATTGGCTAGAATTATTCTTAGGAATATGAGTAACAGGCTTTATTTTGACAATTATTACTCTTCTATACC